TCCTCGAAGCTTAAACTGATTAAGTACGTCTCGACAGAGGAAAACGACGATATACTGGAGGAACTTGATTTGTAAAATCTCGTTAAAGCAGTTGTAGATATGGTTCCAGAAAAATAGATTTAGTGTAGATTTACATGTATGCATTATCATAGCATGAATATTCTTCTCAGACTTATTCTGAATCGTATAAAAAAGCAACGCAATTTTGAAAGTGCGGAAATGCTGTCTCATAGAACCTAGAATGATTTTAATGCAACATTTCTGATCAAAATCACATTGGGATTTTCTTCCCCCAGCATCACAGAGGGGAAATAAGGTGACGCTGACCGGCTCCTCCTGTTTTTCATGGTGACTTTTCCAATTTACTTAATTCCGAGTAGAAAATTAGAAATGTCTGGGAAAATTTATGTCTTCGATGTACTTTATAATCTTCGGAATTCTGCAAGATTTCACCCCCAAAATGCTTGAAATCGCATTTCAGGGACTCTAGATTTCAAAATTTTCCCGGGGGTGCATGCCCCCGGACCCCCCGAGATGGTCTTGCACCTTCGGCGTTTGCTTCGCCCCCCCCCCAAAAAATGAAGGTCTGGCTATGCCACTGATGAAAACTAGGATTTACAGCCAAAATAACGTACTTTCTGGAAGGGTGTATTAATTTAAGGACCCAACAACATGTATTCGGATTTGTTTGTATCTGCAAACATTTTGTTCTGGATATGCCTTCGTCCGGTGAAAGCACACACTAAAGCAACAAACTTTTGAAAACGGTCTCCAAAGTAGAACATTTTGAAAAGCCAACAAATCCAGATACGTGTGAATATACTGTAACTGCAACATTTTGAAAACGACAAGTCGACAACATAAAATGGTGAGATTTGAAATCCACCCATGCTAATATCTACACTGAACACACTTGTGTATTGGCTCGTTTTCACGTATATGTCTGGACAGTTAAAAATGGAACAAAGCGTTGTGAGAAATCAATATGTAAAAAGCTGCATCTGGCGCACAAAATAAAGTACGAATAAGGTATTTCTGCACATTTTTTGCCAGGGGGTAGGTTGATGCAATATTGAAAAACAAAGTTGCATGAAACAGGGTCATCATTTTTATCTCTTTTCTTAAAGTAATTCCAAACAGGACTTTGTTGATTTTCCTTCGCAACAGATTTTCCTTCGCAACACACTACCCTTCGCAGCAGAAAAGTGAGTTAGATATTTTGACATTTTGTTTTGTAAACCAGCACCGATACATGCCATTAAGATTATTATTCAAAGTACTGCAGATTCCATCTTTATGAGTCATCGCACAGTTATTGTTTTCTAGCACTCAACCGCTCGTGTGGGTGGTGAGCTTCTGTGAACACATACTTAAATAATAAGTCGCTACTTTAAATAATTGCCAAAAAGAAGATTCTAGTTAAAAAGGAGATTCTAGAGAAAGGTTGTCTAGTTAAAACTTTCGATGTGCAAAAAAAAATCGAAAATATCAATATCGCATCAGCCTATCAGGGCAATAAAATTTTCAAAAGTTCAAATTTCCGGGGGTATGCCCGGGGGGGATGGTGATGTTTCAAATTGATCGATACAAACTTAGGGCCATTCCATTTAATATCCACACCCCCCCCCCCCCCCACGGA